CCCCCCCCCCGTCTTCTCTGGAAGAGGGAGGTCTTCTTGTCTTCTCGGGGCGGGGACCGTGCTCGGCCCCCTCCCTCCCCGACCTCAAGCTGTGGGTGGTGCTCGCGCAGGCCTCTGGGGATGGCCGCGTGAAGAACATCTACTGAGCACCTACTGTGTGCCTTGATGGACATGATCCCAGCCAGCCTCACAATGGTTGAGACGCCTCTGTTGTCACCTGCATCCTAGGGAGCAGACAGCAAGACTTGGAGAAGTGACCTGACTTGTGGGGGACACACGGCTGGGCAGGGACAGAGCTGGGGTTTGACCCAGGTCATCAGTCCCAAAGCTTATGCTCCTCATCTGGCTCAGCTGCCTGAGGCGACAGACAGCTGGAGGAGGGGGCGGGAGCAGGCATGAGTCGCCCAGCTCGCGGGCCTCCTCTTGGCTGCAGGACCAGCGAGGCCCAGGCTCGGGGCCTTCCTTTGTCCTCAGCCCCACTTCTCTAGTTTCCATGGGGCCTTTCTTTCGACACCTCCAGGGAGGCCACTTGGCTTGCGCTACTTTCAACCCCCAGAGGGTTTGTGGCCCATTTTCCGTCTCATCCTCCCTCCCTCCCGTTCCCTCAACCCCTCCATCCACCTTTCCCTCTATTGGGCACCAGGACACAGAGGAGAACCAGCACACCCCCAACCCTGGAAAATCTGGTGGGGTGCTGACATGTCATCTTAGTTTGGCTTCCTCCAGCAGCTGATCCTGAAATAAGGGTTTGGGTGTAAATGGTTACTGGGAGGTAATCACAGGAGACGAGGCAGGGGAGTGGGGAAGTAAGATGGGGCGGGAAGGAGCCACCCAGGGTGAGTGATGGAGCAGGTGACAGCTGTCGGAGCTCGAGCCTGCTGGGTACCTCTGGGAGCCAGCATGGGGCAAGCCTCTCTGGGCCTTCTTACCGGTGTAGGGGAGCTGAGCTGTTTATCCGCCACGTCCTGTGTGGCTCTGGCTGCTCCCTTAAAGGGTTGAGGCATTGCTTCTCTGCCACTTCCAGCCTGTTGAGCACAAGCAGGGTGGGGCTGGCCTCCAGGGACAGCCCTCAGGCCTTGCCCCAGAGGGGGTCGGCCATCGTGGAGGACATGGGTAAAGTCTGCGGGAGGGGGCAGGACGTGAGCAGCCCCTGTGCTACCAGCCCCTTATACAGGACAGACAACTGCCCACAGCGCCCAGGTCTGTGGTGGAGAGAAGCAGAGGGTCTGCCAGAGCCCAGAGCAGCCCCCTAACTCAGCCTGGAGCAGGCTTCCCAGAGGAGGTGACATTTAACCTGGCCTTGAAGGCTGGGTAGGAGTTGGCCAGTGGGAGGAGGGCAGAGCTGAGCCTGGTTAGGGGCCAGGTGAGAAGTGGCCCTGGGTCAGCTGTCCCTCGGGGCCTGCAGGTGCTGATGGAGTGGATCAACGCCGAGCTCCTCCCCGAGCACATCGTGGTCCGCAGCCTGGAGGAGGACATGTTCGACGGACTCATCCTGCACCACCTTTTCCGTGAGTGGCTGCTGACAAAGCTGTGAAGCCCCGGAGAGCAGGGTGGGCCTGCCTCCCCTGTAGAGCCCTCAGGGGATGGGCTGTGGGTCAGTCCCCCCCCGGCACAGCTGCCTAAGCATCTGCCGAGCACCTGCCACGGAGCAGGCGGGGTTAATCCTCAGAACATCTCTGTACTGTTACCGTCCCCGTTTTACAGACGAGGAAACTCAGTTCTGAGAGGCCTAGTGACTTGTCCCAGGTCCGCCCACGAAGAAGGTGAAGTCAGGGGTCTCGGCTTTAACCCGAGGCCACGTGGCCCCGCTGGAATGAGGAGCGAGAGCTGTGTGGGAGGCTGAGGGGGTGGGGCATGGGGATGGTCAAGGTGATGTGGGCCAGTGGGGATCCTGCTGTAGCCTGGGTGCCCCCCCACGTGGAGGGGCAGCACCCTTACTCCTCGGAGGAAGGAGACCGGCTGTGGGTCCCCCTGCAGGGGACCCAGCTGTCCTCACCCCTTCCCCTCCCTCCCCCCAGCCTTCCCCTCCCTCCCCCAGCCTTCCCCACCCTCTCCTTCCCTCATTCCTTCTCCCGCCCTCAGAGAAGCTAGCGGGACTCAAGCTGGACGTGGAGGAGATCGCCTTGACGGCGGCCAACCAGAGGCGCAAGCTCACGGTGGTCCTGGAGGCCGCCAACCAGAGCCTGCAGGTGGAGGAGCAGCAGGCCCAGTGGAGCGTGGAGAGTACGTGGGCCTCGACTCGCCTCGGCCAGGGCTGCTCAGGGGATGGGGGACCCGGGGGAGCAGCAGTCCCACTCACTTCTGTCTCCTGGTGGGAGCCGGGGGATGTGCCGTGAAGTCCCATGTCAGGATGCAAACGCAGCCGCGTCCATAACGCAGCTGTGAGTTATTATGTTCCCGGCACCACGCGTGCACCGCCCACCTCGTCAGATGGGCACAACCGTCCCGGGTATTCATCCTGTCCATTTTCCAGTTGAGAAAACAGAGGCCAAACAGAGTTGAGTAGCTTCTCCCAGGTTGGATGGCCGCCGTGTAGCAGTTTTCCAGCCCAGCTTTTGTCAGGCCCCCTGCCGCTACCTTCGCCGCTGCTTCCGCTCTTACACTCAATAATTGTTGTTTGTGATGTTGGCCCTGAATCAAGTCACATTCAGCTTAAATCAAACAATTTGTTCAACCAGGGCCCTACTGTAGGACATTTAGTTGTTCAAACAGCCCTGCGGTGAACATCTGTGTGTTAAAAGCCCGGTCCAAGTGGTGGATTGTGCCTCGAGCCATGTTTGCAGAAGCGGATGACTGGGGCAGAGTGTGCCTAGTTCTAGGTTCTGAATACAGCTCTCCAGACCTCAGCTCTCCAGAAGGCTGGACACAGAGCTCCTTGGGCTGCTGCGGGGGGTTGTGATGATAAGGAACCCACCATGTGGCCCCAGGTTTGGCGGCCCCTGGAGCTCTGACCTCGTGCCCCCTCCCCTCCCAGCCATCTTCAACAAGGACCTGCTGGCCACCCTGCATCTCCTTGTGGCCCTGGCCGAGCACTTCCAGCCTGACCTGCCCCTCCCAGCCAACGTCCAGGTGGAGGTGATCACCATGGAGGTAGGGGGCCAGGGATCTGAGGATGCCCGCCTGCAGGCTGGGCATCTCGGGGCCACGTCGCCACATCCTGGGTCAGGGGCTGTTGCAGGGGGTGGGGGCTGAACCGGAGTGAGTTCCAGGGAGCTGTGAGAAAGAACAAATCCCACCAGGACAGCAGAGAGGGTCTGGGCTAAAGCTGGGATGCCAAGAGTCCAGCGGGGCCATGAGGAGGACTGTGGGCCAGCCAGTCCCTCTTACTTAGCAGATGGCACCTGCCCGGGGTGTCATGAAGGTCCTGGGTGATGGCAACTGTGCACCTGGGTCACAAGCGGCCATCTGTTCCCAGCCTTCCTGGAGGCTTCACACCACTGAGTCATAGCCACTGCCCCGTCACGTTGACTGCCTCATCCCCTGACTGATGGGTGTGACGGTGGTTCCAGGGACCTATTTGGGCTTCTCTGTCCACGGGATTCTCTCTCTGGCACACGCACGACTTGTGCTGTAGCTGATGGCCCAGGAGTCCACGGCTTCTCTCTCACACAGACCCTGAGCACCACGGACAGGGCCCACCTGCTCCCGCTCCGCACCCTCCCCTCCTCCAGCGGTACCTGGGTACCCGGGGAGCAGCGGGGCTTGGCTGGAACTCACCCAGCAGAAGAAGCTGAGTCTAGCCAAACCCCCGAGAAATTCATTCTTACTTTTTCAAAATCACTGATTTGCATTCACCACTGAGCAGTGCCTTGGCTTTGTTGACAAGTATGCAAATCGGAAGTGACTTCATTCCTTCACTCATTCATTCATTCACCCACCTATCATTCCTTCGTTGTTCAGATCAACACGTGCCCACAGACACCCTGTGAGCCAGGCACTGGGCAGGCTTTGGGGATACCTGGGGCACAAGGGAGGTGGTCCCCATCCTCTGGGGACTCAAGGCCCATGGGAAGAAGGACAGTGACGCTGGCCGCAGCAGCGAGGGCTGCCCAGGAGGCCACCTTGAGGAGGGGATGTAGCAGAGTAAACCAGGTCCCTCGGGGCTGCCTTGGCCCCTACTGTCTTCTCTAGAGGCAGGTGTCAGTTGTAGAATTTTCTGGGATTACTCCATTTTGGGTCCTTTTTTCTCTCTTAGAGCACCAAAAGTGGCTTGAAGTCAGAGAAGTTGGTGGAACGTCTCACTGGATGTGGGTGAGGGAAGGACCACAGACGGCGGCAGGGGCCTGGCTGTGGTTTCTCGGGCATGGATGGTGGGGCTTGGGGCCAGGGGCTGGGAGCAGACCCACCTGGTCTGGGGTCTTTGGACCTCGACACCATGCTGGGTCCTTAACGCCGGGTGCCTGGGAGCTGTTGGGAAGCCATCCCCACGTCCTCGCAGGGAGATGCAGAAACCTGACAGCCCAACAGCAGGGCCCCGCAGGCTTCCAGGTGCTGGGAGGCAAGGGCCCAAGCGCTCACTCACACCTTTAGCACTGAGTGAGCGCCTACTGTGTGCAGGGCGGGGCTTGTCCTTGAGTGCCCAGGTCAGCCAGCCATTGGCCTTTGTCTGTCTGGACAAGCAGGATGCCGGAAGTTGCTCAGCCAGTGAGCTCTTCCCTCCATCCTCCCAGAGGTAAAGGCCCCCCGGGCAGTCCTGGCTGCAGTGCCGCCCAGTCAGAAACACTCACCTTCGGGAGGTGGGGCCGTGCACGTGGGCTCTGCAACGAGAGAACCAGAGTTCTGGGTTAGAAGCTGGGGGCTCCCATTAGATGTGTCTGAACTGCAAGCTGGGTTTAGAAGGGCCTCAGAGAGGGCAGGGCCTGGCCTGTGGCGGAACCTCCCGACTGCCTGGGAGGTGAAGGAAAACCATCTCCGTCCCTACCCTGTGCGGCCCGGTTCCCTGCCAGGGGCATGGTTGGCGGGGCCAATCGGCTCTCTGTAGAGGGCTTGGCGGAACTTGGGCCCAAAGTCTTGCTTCTAGGGGGTGGGGCTGGGGTGGAAAATTGAGCAACAGAGTCAAAGAAAAACCATTCGAAAAAAAAAAAGAAGTGAAAGAAGGCAGACACAAAAGAGTCTGTAGGATTTCATTTCACAGCCTG